ATAAATTTTAACTATTAAAAATAAAAAGATAAATTATTAAAATTTTATATAAATATAAAATATAAAATTATGCATAAATAAATTTGTACTCTTCTAAAAATAATAAAGTACATTTAATGTATATTTTAATTAATATTATATTTTTTTTATCTTAATTGCATAATGAGAAACAATAACTTTTCATCACTTATCTCACTCCATTTACATACTATGTAACTCAAACTCAAAATTTTTTATTTTCAATAACAAAAACTATTAAGTTGTTTAGATAATTAACCTATTTTACATATTTTTAAAATAAAAAAAAATAAAGGAACCAATAAATATTCTCATAACGAATACTTATCTGCATAAAAATATCTCCACTAAAAAACCTTTAGAAGCGTGCAGCATTTGATCAACACCCCAACTGGTTCTGACTTACTTGGTGATAAATGATTCTGTCCCTCGTCACACACACACAAACACAAACACACGTGGCTCTTGCCTCCCCCTCACAACTCACAACCTCGCATATCTGAACCGCATGAAGGAGCGAGGGGAATGAAAACGACGCCGTATTCATGGCAGAAACACTTTATGCGCTGTCGTTTTACTTCCCTTCTGGCTTCTTATAATCACCCCGGTCATTTTCAACGTCACCATAAGTATCATCTTTTCGTCTCTCAACCGTTCCACAACTTGCTCCACTGGAACACCCCATCTTCCACGACTTAGCTTCTCTTCGATCTCCAGCAATGGCGAAGGAACCAGTTCGCGTTCTTGTTACCGGTGCTGCAGGTATTACTTTTCATATTCTTATGTTTCGAGTGATCGGATCTTCTCGCGTCGTTTGATCTACTACAATTTATTTCTACTCGATTCAATCTCAGATCGAGTGGTTTCTTGGTTTTTCTCAGTATCTGCTTTCAGATCTACCATATATTGCTCTATTCTTTTCTTCTTCTTTTTTTTTTTTCTTTCTCATCTGCTTGCCTACTGGACTTGATGCGGTTTAGATTGAATGGTTGATCTGATGGTGATTAGTTGATTACTGATTTGAATTTACGGCGATTAAACGAGCTAGGATTTTAGGAAGACTTTTTTTTTTTTTTTTTTTTTTTTTCTGGTGCTGATTTGGCTGATTTAAGTTGAATACTGATCTAAACTGCTTGCTTCTAAGATTGTGTTTTCTTCTGTCTATTTGTCAGAAAATATTAGAACTTATGATTTCAGTTCATTACGAGGGAACCTCAATCTGGTTACGTGTAAATGCAAAATCTGTTTTGTGTGTCTGTGTCTGTGTTGGTTTTCAAGTTTGATTTATTACTCCATAGAAGCATATCCTTGGGCCTGTATTGGGAAACCTGTTTTGATGCTGTGGTGGGAAATTAAGGAAACAGACTGTTCTGTTCTTCAAGTTTTAACTCCTTGGGATGATCAAATCAGCCGTGCACTTTGTTTTTCTTTTTTCTCTTTCCTGTTCTAAATTTTTGGTGAAAAGGTAGAATCTCTTGAAAGAAATTGAAGGAACTTAACACGGGGAGCTTCTTCTTTTTTTTTTTTTTAATAATTTCATGGTCACATTGCTAATCCTTTTATGAATCCCTACTATTCTTTTTCTTTGAAGACATATATCAAGAAATGTTGTTTTATTTGCAGGACAAATTGGATATGCACTCGTACCAATGATTGCTAGGGGTGTCATGCTAGGCTCGGACCAGCCTGTGATCCTGCACATGCTTGATATCCCACCTGCAGCAGAGGCTTTAGATGGAGTGAAAATGGAGTTGGTGGATGCAGCATTTCCCCTTCTTAAGGGTACTCTCTTGCCTAAATTGTTTGAATATATATATGTATATATATTTTGAATGTCAGTGCTGGATTTGAGATTTATGGGAATATGTTTTATGGTTATGAGATCTGATTAAAACTGTTTATCAGGTGTTGTTGCCACCATTGATGTCGTTGAGGCATGCACTGGAGTCAACATTGCCATCATGGTTGGAGGTTTCCCGAGGAAGGAAGGCATGGAAAGGAAAGATGTGATGTCTAAGAATGTCTCAATCTACAAGTCTCAAGCTTCTGCCCTGGAAAAGCATGCAGCTCCCAACTGCAAGGTGAGTGAATTTTCCAATTGCATGTATGTCTCTATTTTCTTGTCATGTGAAAAATGTTACTCTCACTGTCCCAATTAGTTGCAATATGGTTTTGTGGAATTCTGAAACTTAAATTGAAGGATTATTGTTCCACCTGTATAGTTATTTTTAGGATTTTAACATGTGATTTATTGCTATTTTTCTTCATTTGTTGTGTTCTCAAAACTTAATGGACAGACAACAGACCAATACATGGGTGATTCAGGGTGGAGGCAGTGGATCCCACTGCCCCTATTGAATCCTGCAAAAGCATCAGAGTTTATAATATATTTGTAAAAGATTATTTGAAATTTATCTTAAATTTAACAAAGCCTAAACTTTTGCCCTCATTGAATTTTTTTTGTTGTTGACCCATTGAATATAAAACCCGGATCAGTCTATGTGCCCAAACATTTTCTCAATGTTTAATTTGAATACCACATATCAATTGGTATTATTTCTAAATTTATATGGGAGTATGGACCCTTGAAGTTTTGTCACCAGATATAAGTTTCTTCGTTTGAAGATGATGATTTCTTCTAACTGCCCTTTTCTTCTTGCATGTTATTCCTGTTTGTTTCAGGTTCTGGTTGTTGCTAACCCTGCAAACACCAATGCATTGATACTGAAGGAATTTGCACCTTCAATCCCTGCCAAGAATATTACATGTTTGACCAGACTGGATCATAATAGGGCACTGGGACAAATCTCAGAGAGGCTAAATGTTCATGTTTCTGATGTTAAGAATGCGATTATTTGGGGTAATCACTCGTCAACTCAGTATCCTGATGTCAACCATGCAACTGTTAAGACTCCATCTGGCGAGAAGCCTGTCCGCGAGCTAGTGAAAGATGATGCATGGTAAAATATAAATATAAAAAGTTATTGTATGATAATATATTTATTCAGTTTGAGTTTTCTGTGGCATCATTTTGCTTTTACTCTCTGATTGAAGGTTGAATGGAGAATTCATAACTACTGTTCAACAACGTGGCGCTGCAATCATCAAAGCTCGAAAGCTCTCAAGTGCACTATCTGCTGCTAGTTCAGCTTGTGATCACATTCGTGATTGGGTCCTTGGAACTCCACAGGTTGGTAAAGTTGTTGGCTCTTCTTTGAAGATATGCTGAATGATACTGATCCTACACATTTTTAACTCTTTGGACTACTAGGGCACATGGGTTTCGATGGGGGTTTACTCCGATGGTTCATACAATGTACCAGCTGGTCTTATTTATTCCTTCCCAGTTATATGTAAGAATGGAGAATGGTCAATTGTCCAGGGTAAGAAAATCACACATAAATTCCCACTTCATTACATTGGTTTTGTGTTGTTCTTATCTCAAATAGTTGAAAATGCAATTGCTAATTCATGTCTATGAGTAAACTCCTCTTTTATGTTCTTAATGAAATTCTAAATAAATTGTGCTCTCTGTTTTGTCTCAGGGCTTAACATTGATGAATTCTCAAGAAAGAAGCTAGATTTGACAGCAGAGGAGCTCACCGAGGAGAAGGCTTTGGCATACTCATGCCTCTCTTAAATGTGCTATCTTTGTTTACCGACTGTATAAGTGGGGTTGCCCTGCAATTTAATTTAGGAGGGATAGCTCATAGCTACAATTTTGAATAAAGCTTTTGTTAAAATCTACAGGACCTGCTCATGATGAGACAGTTGCCTCTTCACCCGTTTATCATATGGGGATTTTTGGAATTTTTATCACTTCATGGATTTGGCCTTTCAATTATAAATGAGATAATGAAGGACTCTGTTTCCCATGTTCTATGCTAGTTCAGAATAGAGTTTGGATCCTGTTCAATTCACTGGAGAGGTTATTTCTTGGCATATCACAGTGATGATTCCTGAATTAGACTGATATGGTTTTGTGCATAATTGATCAAATTATCGACTGAACTGCATGAGAAGCTTTGCTCAAGTTTATGCCAATGATACGCCAACAATATTTGAGATTTTACTGGGAAAAACTGGTTTTTCGGTAGCAAATGCCATTACCTTATGATTTACTCTGAATGGGTGGTATGGCCTAGATAGAAATGTCTATCAGAGATAACAGTTCCAAGGGGTTTGGTAGTCATGACATTACCAAAGATTTACTGAAATATTTGCGCCGGGTTATTACTCTCTCATTTGTTTCGTGTTCCATGAAGAAAATGTTACTCAATAAGGGGTTGAAAGTTGAAACTGATGCCCTTGGAGGTGGGTTTGGAACATGAGCCCCCTGTTTCCGCTTTTCTTCTCACACAGGCTTAGTGGATGGTAAATGCACATGCTATATCTGTATCAGATTTTCAAAACAAGTTCTCCCAATTTCTTGCGGCAATATACCTGATTGGTTGATTTTCACAAGGTGGAGTCTATTCAGGGAAAAAGTTTCTGTTCACTGACTGCTAGGATGGATTGTGAAAATTTGTCATCGGAAGCATTATGTTTAAATCCTAAATCTTAACGCTACATGGAGAAGGAAGAAAGAAAACTTCCGATTTCATTCGATTACTAGGTGGGAAAGGGGTGTCTGTATTGGAATTTGCTCATCATTTTCACCAATGTGTTAAGAATAATGGAGATTTGTTAGTCAATCTAGTTGTGAAACTTCAAACTTGTACACGTTTTTCTACAGAAAATTGGTAAGAGAAGCTCAAAGTGTGGAAAAACCAAGCATCATTTTCTCTTTAATAATGTCACATCTGAGAACTAGAAGCAGCCCCAAGTCTCAACAAGGAAGACGAAGAGGTGAAGTGATTGGGTTGTCGGTGTTTATGTTGAAGCTAATAAGACTAATCAATACGGCAAACACGGAATTATCAATGTGGGGTGGAGGAAAAGTATGAGAAAAGGACCAGTGTATCAATACCCAGAAGCTTCAGTTAACGACTTCATTACAGCAAGGGTTGATTTAAATGAGTCTAAATCCCCAACCCCCCACCAATACTCCCTTTATTCTGTTTGGCATCTTCCTTTGTTGACTTACTTTTTTCCTTCCTTTGCTGGAACTCATGGATATGTTTAAAAGCATAATTATCAAGAGAAAAACATACGGTTTCTTGTTTCTAGAGTAAAATTTGTTCACTTTTTGTATTTGAAACTAATTACCACTCACCAATAACTTAAATAACTTAATAATAATCTTTTTTTAATAAAAATGACATACAGGTAAAGTAAGTTAAAAGATAAAAAATAATTATCTCCATTATACATCCCAATATCAGAAAATAATAATAATAAAAATAATTACCACTTATGTATAAATTGAAAGTGTTATACTAAAATCTCAAGTATTTTCCTTCACTTAAGAGATACCTCATGGTTAGAGCTTATGGCCCGCTGCAGGTAGAGTTGAAGCACAGGATGAGATTAAGGAAATGGAAAGTTTATCCCATATTGTATGGTATTATTAGGCATACCAAGAATCACATAGTTTTTTCTTGCGTATGTTTTTTGTTTAGAATTTTTTCTCACATGATATCCATTTAGAATTGTAGATACTTTGGTCACAGATCAAGATTTTTGATCCAAATGAATCTACTCCCCCTCCTCTCTCCCCATTCAACATCATACCCACTTTATTCTGTTTGGCATCTTCCTTTCTTGACTTATATTTTTCCTTCCTTTGCTGAAAGTCATGGTTATGGTTAAAAGCACAACTATCACGAGGAAAATAGACGGTATCAAGTAAAATTTGTTTATTTTTGTATTTGAAGATAATAATCACTCATGATTATAACTTATGACCCTAGTTAAAGAACTAAAACATAAGACTGAGATTGAAAAAATAAAAAAGTTATCTTATATTAAATAATTTATTATTAGATATACTAAGAATTATATAGTTTTTTCTTGGATATGTTTCTTGTTTACAGTAGAATTTTATCTTACATGACATCCGTTTAGATTTGTAGATAATTTGGTCACAGTTCGAGGACTTCTTCCATGTATGAGATCTATATAAGAATGATTATCGAGATGACGTACGCTGTAAACAACCCATAAACAACGTTGTCTCTCCTAAACTTATCAAAGCTTGCGTTTTATGCAAGATTTTGAAGGTTTACGGTACTGCTCCAGCCATCAGAAGAGAATGCCATGCTAATTGGCAATGTGGGATGACAAAGTCTTTTTCATGTGGGTAATTCATTAATAGTTGAATAGTCAAAACTTCACCCCTTGATGATCACACCAATAAGAAACTTGATCATTTAATTTTATCTTCTTCGAACAAAAGATATGCTCAATTCCTCAATTTGTATTTATACAACCAACAATAAAAATGAAAAAAAGTGTCATTCAATGTTATTTGCAAGAACAATGCAAACCATTGTTACATAATGATCATTAACATAATTAAACTGTACAATCAATGAATGATTTAACTCCCGACCCACATGAAATTTTCTAATACAAAAGCAAATTAACCCTAAATTTGACATAATCGTAATCATACTGTATGTGATAAATATGTTTATCACTATACAAAACTGTTTCCGAGTCCATTTCCCCTTTCTTCTTTCTCATTTATTCTTCTGTTTGGCCCCAATCAGATCATTTCTTGAACTTTGTTTCTTCGGTTAATATAACTGATTCTAATTTTTGGACAAAGCACACTGTTACCTATTTTTGATGCCAGTGTCAAAAAGACAAGACACAAACAAAACAAACACATTAATAGATTAGAATTCTGTTAATTGTTGTTCATCTCCTGCCCTAATGAATAGGTTATACCAGAATCCCATTCCATCATCTAAACTTTGATCATGATAATATCCATGTCCATATCCACCATCAGACTCCATGAATGAAGTAGATGATGGAATTTGGACTTGAAACTGATCATGTATGACCCCTTCAAAATTTAATGGTTGCTGGAGACTGGAATTCTCCTGTGAGGATGACAATGCTTCTGTCCAAAAACTGTCATCAATCTCAGGAAAGTACTCCAATGACTCAATGAAATCCATGTTGTTTTCTTCACTTGCTGCTATCGAAGAAGAAGCATCTGTTATGGAGGAGTAGATGTCACTAGAAGATTGCTGAGGCGATTCCGGCGAAAGATTTGATATGGAAGTTGAGAGTTTGGGAGATTCTGCTTCTTTCCCTGAGATAATTTCATCAGGGTTGTGTTTGGTCTCTGGCTGCTTAGCCTGGTAGTTTTTGAGTTTCTTCTTCAAGTGGGTGTGCCATACATTCTTGATTTCATTGTCAGTTCTTCCTGGTAATCTTGATGCAATTGTTGACCACCTGGAAGAAATGAATAGAAATATAAGAAAAATCCAATTTGAAGTACTTCTTATATTCTCTAACTGTTTGATATATTGTTTGAATGAATCTTGATGATATTCACCTATTTCCTAGCATTTCATGAAGTCTGATGATAGTTTCCTCCTCTTCCCAGGTGAAGTTCCCTCTCTTAATATCCGGTCTCAAGTAATTAATCCATCTGAGTCTGCAACTCTTCCCACATCTCAAAAGACCTGTAAAAAACAAGACCAAAACGAAAAACACTTAAAAAAGGAAAAAAAAAAAGGGGGAATCGTAGTAACAAAGAACTGAATCTTCATGATAACACTACAAAAAACTATGGAAGCTTATGCTTACCAGCTAGCTTTGGCAGAGCACGCCAATTTTCATGGCCATATTTCTGGATGTAGGAGATTAAAATCTTATCTTCTTCTGGGGTCCATGGCCCCTTCTTCAATCCCATTTTCTCACAGCAAGGAGCTCTCCCCATCCTAGTGTTCGTTAGTGTGTATCCCGAATCGTATTATCAGTTTTCTGCCTTACTTTTTTCCCTTTTTCTCTCAGGTGCTCAAATTTTGCTGGGTTTGAGGCAGTTATTTATACAGAAACCTACGAGGAAAAGTCCAAGTAACTGAGTCGTCTTAGTTATTCAAAGGATAGCAATTTCGAAGAAACAGGACAGCCACACAAGCCACCCAATGAGTGTTTTTTTTTTTTTTTTTTGAGAAAACCCAAAGAGTTTATTTTTAAAATAATTTTTTTGGATGAATATATTATTAAAATAATTAAAAA